AGCCTACTCAGAGTACTGAAGCCGTTGAGCCGATACGATTGGACAATTCACACCTATAGATTTGTCATATAGAAACGTTTCCTGACCTGTTATCGTTTGTTTAGTACATAGTTTCAGGGTTTTTGAAGATAACTCATGCTAAAGATCAGTGTCTTCATTTTGGAGCTGGAAATGTTCAAGAAGTTTGATTCCTTGGAAACCTTTCAAGGATGTCACATCAGACAAGGTGTCTGAAACCACATTGTTTGCCTCGGAGATGTGGTATACATATGAGGTGACCTGAGGAATATATTAGAGTTGTCGAGAATCTCAAGAGGAGTACTTTTCCGAAGACGAGCTTGGAGAGATGAGAGATTTGTGGTCAGTAAATGGAGTGGGTTCTTGACCTTCCATAGGATACCAAAGGTTTTGTACAGCACAATTTATGGCTACGAGTTCTCTACCGAATATACTGTACCTCAATTCGGCGTATTGCAGCCGTCTCGAGAAGAATTTCAGAGGCGATCAGTTGTTATTTACCAATTTTTGCCCTGGATTAGGAGCATATTTGCTTTTGCGATAAGTTCCTTAACTGTGAAGATCTTTCTCTGAATCGTAGTCCAAATTGATAAGTTACGCATTTCTATGATGTTTGTCTGTTAAGGGTCCCATGAGAGACGTGCACATCTGCACGAACAGTCAATAAAAAATACCAGACCGCGAAACGTACATATTTGCTTGACTAGTTGATTTCAGGCAATCAAGAACTGCCGCCATTTCGCTTTTCAGAGAGCAGATGCCTTGAGCATCAATAGTGTGTCCTAGAATATCTAGAATATTTAGACCGATTATGAATAAAACGGACCCCATATGTTATTAATATGAATACAATCAAATGATAGAACACATGGTTTACCGTTTCCCATTATTTATTGACTATTAGTTATGCCTTTACGCTCGTACTCCTCGCTTTCAGATTCCGAATCTCTCTAACGGTTGAAATTGTGTTATTCTTCGTAGATGTCATGTCCTTTTTTCCATTACAAGTAGACAGATAACTCACTAGTCTCGTGGAAGCTGATCAACTATGGCCGGTCATAAGGGGCTAATAGTGTCCTAAATATTGTGAGTCATTCAATGTTTTGTTTTCTTACCCCGAAAATACTCAAATTATAAACTCTTGCATATTCTTTGATTCACTATCTATCCTTACCACCTCTAAACCACATATAACTTTTACCATTAGTTATCTACAAACCAGTGAGATATACTAAACCGACATCTAACACACAATACAGAAACTTTAGCCATTTGACTTGCTCGTAACATGGAACTAGTAGAGACAGTGTATTCCAACAAGTAGCTAAGATTAAATAAATATTCTTACGCACCACAAACATAGGAAACCATAACGTCACAAAAGGAGTGAACGTGGCGTCACCGGTCAGCAAACATGGTGGTGGGGAAATAACTTCGATTCACCCATGTAAGTAGGGCACAGCATTTTGTTAATTTAAGGCTTTTTATGGTCACGTGAGATGTCACGAACCAATGTTGTTGATGCTAATTTGTTGTGTAAAGTACCTCTTTAAATCCCGTTCGTAATGCTGAATTGGTTTCACTTGCTATCGAGTAATGTAGGATCAAAACTACGGTTCGGACTGCTGAATAGTCTTCCAGGTACGTTAGACACGCGCTCTTGTCCGTCAAAATAAAAACAAGTAATCGAGTAAATAGCAGTTGTATAATTCATCATAAATTTAAGTGTAAATCGTTACTTAAACAAATATTACCACCTGGCTATTCAATCAATATTTGTTCAATCAATCAAATCTAAATTACAATAAATAAAGAAGTTGTCAAAAGATGCGGGAAAATTACCAATAACAATAAATGAACACCATTCTATCCTGACTGGATAGAACACACACAAAAGGAGGAGCAAATCAATATGGCTGCCGCCAAGAACAAGTGTCAAGCAAAACAACATAGATGCAGTTTGGGAAGAAACACAAAAAATTAGTGAAGGCTTAAGAAAAACAAAAACTATAATATAAATACAAATATTAACAATTCAAATGCAATAAAAAACTAGCAATGTACAATTAAGGAGATAAATAGGAACAAAGTACAAGTATATACATGGAGGGATTTTCACACACAAAACATTCAAAACGGATCTTACAAGTAATTCTATTACAAGCAATACTAGACAGTTTACTAAGAACGAAACCTGCTCATGACACTATAAAATAAATAAAACATGGGCTGAAATAGCTTCGACAAAAAAAGTGAGATAGCCATTTGTGTATCAGAATACTATTTTCAGTATCATATTATAGAACTCCATATAATCCCATGTTTCCAGTTTTTTTAACCGCCTCAATTTATTTAGTTCTTTGTCCGTTCATACCATATTTATTCTAGTTTTCTTTAACTTACTGTAATGCTCTTGCTTGAAAAACACCTTAGCAATAGAAAATTGGACAGAGTAATTGTGTCTTTACCATTTCACCGTAAAGGACTCAATATCAATGTAAGATCTATATCGAATGTTTTGTGTGTTAAAATCCTTCCATTTATACACCTGCAGTTTGTTCCTATTGATTCCTTTAGTTGCACATTTCGTTAGTCTTTTCGATTCCATTTGAGTTCATAATATTTGTATTTTATTACAGTTTTTATTTTTCTTACGTCTTTACTAAGTTTCCATGTTTCTTCATGAACTGCATTTATGCCGTTTTACTTGGTACTTAGTCTTGGCGGCAGCCATATTGGTTTGTTCCTCCTTCTAATTGTGTTTTTTGTATTGACTTGAACTTTGCATTGTTGATTGTGAATTGAAGCACTCTACCAGAATTGAAACACTGTGTCATAAAGCAACTAAATATTATATTTTGAACGAATCTGTGCATGATCTATCCAGACAGGATAATATAACATTTATTTGTTGTGATTGGTAATTTTGTCGCATCCTTCATCAACTTCCTTATTTATTGTAATTTAGATCTGATTAGTTGAACAATTATTGGTTGGATAGCTGGGTGGTTATATTTGTTTAGATAACAATGTATTTTTAAATTTATAATGAATTTCAGAACAGTCAATTTTCCCAATCACTTTGTTTTGGTTTCAACCGGTCAAGCATGCCTATCTAACCCACCTAGACAGCTATTCTTCAGCTCAGGGCTTAGTTTAAATCTTACAATCAATATGCATGAACACTGCATGCTTTGCTTCTCATCTTTTATTTCTCTTACCCTCTTTTTCAGCCCTCTTAAGATATGCCACCGATTACGCATGTGGAACGGGCGACTTCGTCCTGCGACATCATTAATGCCACAGATGTTTCAGAGGTATATGAGGTCACAGTTTACGGAAGATCTCAAATTTAATTGGATTTGCTTCCAAATATTAGCTGCACGTCGAAACTCCATCTCCATAAAGCGCTCCAACTGTCATATTGACAATTCGGATCTTACAAATTTTATTTGCATCAGTATTTGAGAAGTATTATCCCCCATACTTTTATGATCAGTGCACTTCATAAATTACCAAACTGAGTAACCCACCATAGTGAGGATTGTATATTCTGTAACAATTTGATCTTGCCTGTAAACTGGAATGTCTCATATAAGACTGTTATTTAAGAACAAATTATTATTAGTAAATCCCAAATAAGTCTCTCAACTTAATAAACCACACCTAATTTACTAGACTAACCAGAACAATAATTGGAATCCTTCTCTTATTCTCCTTCTTCAGTTAAAGTGCTTACACAAATGTAGTTGACAATCATTACATATGAATAGGACCCCATGCAAAGAATACTTCATATTTAACATTTTCGACGCACTGACTGGTTTGTCACTTGATGTTTATTAGTCTAGGCGCAAAGCGTATTACTTGTACGTTAAACTCTTAACCACCTATTATTGCTATGGAACTGGTGAGTTCGCTAATTGATTAACGAAGAAGACGATATACAGCTAAGGACACTCGTGCGTATAGAGCCCATACAGTGGCAAGTCGGAAGACAGAAGAAGCAGGAGATGTAATTGTTCGGTGATAATCAAAAATGTATTTTTAGATGTTAGTGTTTGCCATAAATTTATTATAATTCGGCCAATGCGCAAGAAGGCAAGTTATGCTACCATCCAGTCGTAGCATGTCACGTTGATATTCTCGAAAGCTCCGTCAGGTTCTGATTGAGTCAAAACCCTTTGACTCCTTTAGTGCTATTGAAGGCTCCGTCGTGGTTCTCGAAAACTTTTCAAATACCTCCCTGGAATAAGATCTTCTCATTAGGTCCACTTGTAGCCCGAGAACTGGCCTGCGACGGGTCCCATTTTTCGTTGTCTTTCTTGTCCAAACAATCAACCGTATGTCCCTTCCGATATCCTTGGATGTATGTGTCGTTGACGTATATGTGAGTAACTATAAAGGAAGATTAACCTGGTTGCTTCCAGAGTGCATCATTTTTTATCTTTGCGGATTTGGCTCGTATCTCTCATATACATCTCGAAAGCTCCTCAGACTCCAGATAAAACTCTTCCCAATCTTTGAGCAGCTATCCCTGATTTCCATCGATTCCTTCCAAGAAGTGACCTCTCCTTAAATGACTTCAAGATTTCCTGGTAGGTCGTAGACAGAAAGTAAGAACAAATTCCAAGTGTTTTGTCTGGAAGCCAGCACTTAAAGGAGTACCGCAAGGCTCTGTCCTAGGTCCTTTACTTTCTATACTGTGTGTGAATGAACTCCAGAGTATAGTTGAGTCCCCGATGCTACTTTATGCTGATGGTGTGAAAATATGGCGAGAAACGACAGAGGGTGCAGATGCGCGAGCACTCCAAGCAGACCAAGATATTCAGCTGTGCAATTTCAGAACTCCGAAGTTCACCATACAAAGAGCGGCTTGAAAACCTAGACTTTTTATTCTGTTCTACCTCAGATTATGTGGTTTGATTTTGATGTATAAAATACTAAAAATGATTTTGTACTTGATGTGTCCTCAGAGGACATAGTAGGCGGGTAGGAAAGTCAAGGACGAACAAAGTACCAGTGGCATAAAAGTTGTCATACCGAGTAATCATTTCCTGCTACCTGTTATCCGAACCTATTGTGTCCGCACATTCAATTGATTCATTCAAAAAAGCCTAGGCACTCATATTAGCTTCCTAGAAAAGGACTAACATAAGCCGTAGGCCTTCTGTTTTCATTATACAAATCTGATTCTGAAGGTCACCGATAATTAAGATTCTCAAGGACAGACCTAATGACTATTTGGGCGTGCAGCTTACGCAAGTTCCTCTTGATCGGGAGAAACGTTCTACTTTGTTCCGTTGTTTCCAGATACAAGCGATTCATCTCGAATTTCGCTTATCCTCCGTCTTCGGGGTTGATGAAGCTCCCGTTGTTTGCTCTGGCATTCCCTACTATTCAGCCCAATACGATTGGTTTGGACCTTAAAGGCTTCAAAAACCCTGATATATTCGAATGCATTCTATCTATGAACAGCAAGTCTCTCTCTAGGTTTACTTGGTTTTCGTTAATGATTTTCTACAGCATTTTGAAGGGTAGTAAGGAGGCTGTGAAAGATAGACATTCTTTAGGATGGACTCCACTAATGCTTGCAGTGGTTACCAGGAATTACGAGTAGCTTTTTCTCATTATCGTTTAATGAACTGAAGGGCAGTAAAAGAATTGTTGAAGTCTGGCTCAAATCCTAATGACGTTGACAATTATGCTGGTATCGTAAGAACTGCACATGATTTGAGAATGATGTCTTCAGAAGGTAATTTGTTTGTGCTTCTCAACTACGCTTAGTTGAGTGGATACGGCTCACACAGTTTAGCGACTTTCTGAATCCATCGGCTGATTTTCGTGGTTGTTCTGCACTTCACTATGCTGTGTTAATAAATGACTCCAAATTGGTTCGTTTATTGCTGGAATTTGGTAAGTTGTCCTGTTCTTTTTTTCATTTAGTACTATAAAATCACCTCAATTGACTGCGTCAATGGACGCCGGACAGTACGCGTATCAATGATAAGATGTATAATACAGATTAAACTTTGGGATTGTGGGAGCTTACACCAAACCAATTACTCCGTGATGAATACACATAATTTTGTAAATTGTTTCTGCGTTAAACCTCACCAGTCCTATGTAAAATCTTTATAACTTAGTATTTAAATAACATCAAAAAGACGTGTGTAGTAAATATCAACAAATCATTGAGTGTATTAGCTTTAGATCATAGTTTTTCTAACTTCATATACTTACATATTTCAGTCCCCTGCTTCAGTTTGTGCGCCTGGGCAGTATTCCAGCCCTCACGCAAATCGATTGATAAAGTACGGTGTATATATATTTGATATCGCCTTGTACCAATGTTTATGTGTTTAAATAAATAAACAAATGTGTTAGTTCGGCAATGATTTTAGGTATGTTCAAAGCAAATGCCTTAGAGGTACATTCGTAAGTTATTTGGAGTAAAAAAACGTGACTGAAACCTAAAAATCAGAATTTTATGTCTTTAAGTCAAATGCAAAGAGATTCGTTCTGTAAAAATATATTTCCAAGAATTATAATAAGGAAATAAACTACCTAAAATTAGATAATTGACATTGAAATAATCCAAGGTTTTGCAACTTCTTGTCCTTCTGCTCCGGTTTAGCACAATCATCAGACTTCACTCTGAAGACATTTATCTGGCCATTTGGTCTTCGAATTTCTACAATTCCACATAGTCTATCGGAAACGTAACTCAGCGATTCAGTGCATTATTCTATACTTGGTTCTGAGCCACATTTATTTTGTTGAGGCCGATAAAGCTACTTGAATTTCTTAACCAGAACAAATAGGGTGGGATTATTCGAAAATTCAGTTGTTCAGATCCTAGTGCCTACATAACTAAGTCGCAGCTGAACAAATATTGAGGTCTTCTAACTCGAAACGATTACATCATTTCGGAGCGCTACTTAATTTTGTGGAAGTACTTATTCCGTCTAGTCATCCAGTGTGAGGTATGTCGATTACTAAAATGTCAACTAATGTTTTACCAAGAACTTGGACGAAGTAGCTGTTATCATTGTATATTTGGTGGGCACTAAGTATCAAAGCATGACATCAAACATTATTCACCGTTCATTTCTTCATAGATCATTCATCTAGAGAATTGTTCGCCTCCCAAATTTTCCGAAACGGTTTCATTTGTAATGTCATTTTATTAGCTAGAGGGCTTTAGTTACTTTCGATGTCGAATCTTATGACACGTATCTTTCTGAATAACAGGGTGTTTGCCTTTAAGTTTACTGTTCCCGTTTATAATCTTAGGTAAATATTTGTCGGTTATTCGAAGCGTTGTTGTGGTATGCTGCCTTTAGTTACTTCCAGCTAAGGTTTTGTGTTATCTAGATTTTTCACGTTAGTCAGATGCTTAATATTCTTTGTTTTCACTGTGTAGGACCTCGCAGTTAATAGATGAGTTCTGACAATACTTAGACGATGTGACCATGTGACAAGACACAATTTTGATTTCACGTTACTAATTTACTGTCATTTTAATGTCTATAGGGGCTGATCCGACTATAGTGAATGAACGTGGTCACCGTCCAGCCATGTATGCTAAAGACTCCTCTATCAAGGATTTGCTAGCTGAGGCTGAGTCGAAGGTATGTTTTCATGATCGTATACTCTGTCGTAATATCACTTACATTTCTCAACGGAAGAAACCAAATAGTATGAGATTGTAATTTCCAGTAAAATGGGTTAAGATACTTCGCTACATAACTGCTGTGTCAGTCTGAGTGAAAACAGACCAGTCTCAAATCGCTAACTTCCCTTTTTAAATAGTTATAACTTGGAATATACATGTTCAATTATCGTTTTAAACCTTACTCAGATCTACATGAAGTAAAAGATAAGTCAAATATTACGGAACGTAATTAATTTTCACACCCAAATTAAATAAGTTTTTTTTAAAATCAAAATTATGTGATATATTTGCGCAATACATTTTGAACAAGCTGATCACATATGTTCTTAACAAGTATATGTGTGATCGGATTGTTCGAAATGTATTGCGTAAATAGGTTTTCACACATTTCTACTAGAGTCATTCAAAGGTAAGCAACTTAGTACTATGCTCGGTTTGAACTGCCATGTTCTTTTTGGATATACGAAATTAACAAAGTCGAACTAACGTAAGTGGAATCAATAATTTAAATCATAGTAGTGAACTGTGACTGACTGTAGTCGAAGAATAGAAGTTCTGGGACGAAACTTGGAAAATAAGAGTGGAAGGAAAGTAAACATATCTGCACTTTGAATCGCGCTTAAAGGTCTCCAACCATAGACTATCTCACGGTTCCTGGACGCAAATTATTCACTTCCTAATAGAGTTTAGAACGGCTATCAGTTTTTCCATCCACTTATGCTATTTGTTTATATGAGTGTTCTTAGTCTCTTTACAAACAGTCATCAATATCTGAGCATGGGGGACACATATCTCAACCGTCTCCCTCCTAAATTAAACTGGATTGAAGAAACCTTGTCATTGAATTTAATTTCTGTGTTTGCATCAACGAAAAATATGCGACTTTTTTGTGGGGAACAACTGACTTCTGAGTTAGTTATACTGAAAGCTCTCAGCCAAAACTCTCCTTCAAGATATTTTGTGTGTATAAAAGTATGAGCACGCGTAAATTAAGTCTATCCTAGTAGTTCAAACTTCTACCGTAGATTTCATTAATATGATAACTGTTGTCTTCCTACCGTTCGAGCTTAAACTCAAAAATTATGGTTTTATGTTCGTTCGAAGCTTCGAAAAATATTTTTTTTGGAGGCATGAGGTTCAGAGGGTTTTATACTAATTTTATAAGTCCACAACTTTGTTATGGCAAACTGTGAGTGCCAGCGTATGCGTGATCCACGATCACTGTGATAACTGGTCAGAACCCTGTACCTTGGTAGTGATGGTTACTGGAATGTTCCAAATTATCTATGTCAGTAGCGGTAAAAGGTTTGGTATCAGCTAGATAATTTCTGAGGTGGGTAGTGCACCTAATGACAACCTTAACAGATATTCGAAATTCTTGAAGAGGCAGGTCACGCTATTTGGAGTAAGTTTTCCTTGTTTCATGGCTGATAAATATCAGCCAACTTAATTGATTAAAAACTTTACAAGGTTTGAGGGAACATTTTAGACAGTTGTAGTGTTAATGTATCTTCATTTAAAAAGCATTCAAAATGGAATCGAAGTTTCAATCAGCATTTAAATTTGCCGTTGCAGTTTGAAAGCTCTTTAATGCAGACGATTCGAGAAAGTTTGCAAAGTTATCAAGTATACTTAATATTACTACTATATTATAATGCATAGCTTCATGATCACTTTTGTTTATGTAATCTTAATTTAAATCGGAAGTCAGTAAAATATTGGATACCAACGCAATGGGGAGATTATATAGAGTACATAAAATGCATAGCAAGAGGTGTCAGAGTGTATCAGTATGTAGATATATGGATGTCTTCAACCTTCTCTAGACCCTCATACACTATCGTACTTATTTCTGTCCAACATTCATTGTGTTTCCTAACAGGAGACTTACTTTTAATTCGTTAAACACGACTGTTCTTTAACTGAGAGAGGTGCTTGTGAATCCTGTCGGTACCTTAAAAGCTCTACAAACCGACATAGATAGGTGTCATAGGTATTTAACACCACTGAGGTTTAGAACGGGTTCATAATATTGGGAGGGATATATTCTTACATTCACTCCTTCCTAGTGATGAACGATTTAAAATAATTGAGAAATCTTTATCCTTTGAGGCCATCGTGACATTGTTATAGCTGTTAAACGTTGGGTTTATAATGCATTAGTACAGGTTTTACGCTTGTTAAACTGATTCTCAAGGTTAAATATGTTTAACAACCTTCTGTTGCTGGTTATCGTTGTTTCCAGAAGATCCATCAAATCTAATCACAGCAATAAATAATCCTGAGATCTGTTCATGTTTAAATGTACTAGAGGGTCATTATTCGATTGATGATATCAACTTGAAATATCAGCTAAGGTGACTTAAATACGTTTAACCCACTATGTATTAGTGGCTGTCATACTAAGGATCGTTTGCTTCTGCTACATTCGCTACGATGTTTTATATTTGTATCTCACAATATGCAAAGCAAACCATAGCTTCTGGGTTAAATAATATGAACACATATTTTATCTTAAGCGTTTAAAGTATTCACTCCCTATAATAATCGGCTTTTGTAGAAGGCAGAAGAAGTGGCTGCCAAAGAGCGAGAGGAAAGACGCCTTCAACCACTAGAAAATCGTTTACGTAAAGTAATTGTTGGTCAAGAAGCTGCTATTCGCACTGTTAGTGCAGGTTGGTTTATTATACACCTTTCTGTTTTCATCATTTGTATTACTGTTGTAATGACCAAAGACTTAGGTTTGGAAAACCAGTTTATTATTTCGTGCAAAATTATACAGTTTTTTTGGTAGAATATGAAAACCATACACTGAATACATTATTTGCACATTTTCCTTCGGTTTTCCTTTACATGCTTCATGATCCCTCCAATTCTGTTATTATTACAATTATTCTGTTTCCCTTTTTCTTCTCTTCAATTCAATCTTCTGTTAACAGGCATCCTATTTCTGATTGCTGCTACATATCTGTCAGTGTAAGTAGAATACACTACACCGTAATGCTTTTAAATACTTTTTGTCATGCTTCTCTAAGTTATTCTATAAGTTTTCGTAAAACCTGTGATTGAAAAAGTTGTTTACAGAATCCTGGTGTATTATTACTTATTTTATAACCGTAAGCTCAAATCTGAGGTCTTCTGTCTCTTGATAACTTTAAAAAATTATCTCGTAGATTTTAGTATAGTAAAGAAAAACACTAGATTTTCCTTCTTACTATGATAGGGATCTGTACTGTTTACACTGACAGGTGTTAATTAATTCTCACTTTTGCACATCATCAATCATTCTGTACTCATTAACAAAATGAGAACGAGAGTTTTTATGGTAGTAGATATGTATTCACACAATCAGTGATTCACACAGCCAGAGAAGCACCCACTATAGCTGATTCTATATATATGACAGTCCAGTATTATTCTATTTAATAAATACAAAAAATATAATCGTGGATTAGTTGGGTATCAAATATGTATCTAGTATTTTACAATTTCTTGATCTGTACCACTGAGTTCCATACTAATAATTCATGTTAATATTCGGTTGTATTACTTAATGGAATGGACCATGTATGACGACTTCTACACATTACAATTTCAAATCAATTTATTCTATATTTTATGAAATATTTAGGGTTTTTGTATTCCCTAAGGCTGATTAATAATTTATTTCATTGTATTTGGTTGGAAAAATTCCTAGTAATTGGTAGATTTTCAAAACCATTGTTGTTTCAGTCCTCTTGAAGATATATGTTGCGACCAAATGATAGGTATGCAAACATAACTTATATGGAGCGAAATAATTCCTTTGCTTGCTCCATAAATGAATACTTACAACATACTTCTACATAGTGGTGACAACTTTTAATTGTATCGTTTGATTTCGGGTTTGGCATCATAAAATAATCGTGGTTTGAAAAAAACTGAATCTCTTATCTTTTGACACTCTTTAGACAATAGGTGGCTCGTTCTAATCACAATTCTTCCAGCTATCTTGATCAACGAAAATAAAGTATTATTTTAGCTGGTTCGCCTTTCATAATAATGGATTTCATGCTTTACACTATCTACCAGATGTTTTTATCAAAAATAGTGCTCCAAAAGCACTGGAAGTTGTACGAAGATTTTTTAGTATATTACTGGTCATTTTACAATTGTTTACTATTGAGACATTTATTAAGAATCTAAGGTGCAGCATATTGACACAAAGTAGTATAACTGAGAGAATTGGTATTGTTTTTAAAAGTGAGTGTTCATTTGTGTTAACTGATGTGATGTAGTCAAGTGATGACTATTAATCAAAACCGAAATTGATAACTGCTATAACGCGGCAAATATTAAGTAAAGTGGAACCTTCAAAACTGTTCTAGCTGAAGTTATTATTTGTATTTTTGTTGTATAATTACTGAATATCGGTCGAGTGAGCGTGGAAGAACTGTGTTCTAGACCAATAGTTTCTAGATGTTATTTTCGTCTGCCATCTAACTACCATCGTATAATTGGTACTATATAAACGATCAAGGCAGAATGATCAATACCCGTACTAAACCATGCTACTGATCTCACATGATTATAACTCGATCATGCAGACTCCAGTACAATCCACAGAAATCGGTTTATATATTTCTTTTGGTCGTATTAACAACATAAAACTTCAGAATAAACAAATATGAAAAATCGAAATCCGATGACCAGCAAAATTTATTATTAGCAAACAGCACTATTTTGTCCAGAACGCTTGATACTAAGTTGTGTATGGTTAAAAACCATTTAGAATGTGAATAATAGCTAAATATATGTCTGTAGATCGATAATCAGTGTATCGAATTCCTAACAAAGTGGTCTAACCTTTTGTTGAATAAATCAAAAGCAAATCAGATTTATTCTGCATCACTGATCAGTTAGCCTACTGTTGGGACTTTTAAGATGACATGAATATCGTGAGTTGCTCCATTGATCTAAGGTAAAGAAAGTCCAAATAGTTCAAAAATAAGCTACATATTATTGAAATGTTAAAGACGGTGAGCATTCTAGTATTTTGTTAATTAGTTGGGAAGTTTTAAAAGCTTGTTAGTTATAATATTAGAGATATGTAGTTCCCCATAATCTTGAATTCGCGATGTTTTTTGAATCAGCGAATGTTCATAATTTTTGAAGCTATAAAGCCATTGTGACTTATGATACATAGAAAAATAATTTATTTTAACAGTTGAATTCACGAGTCGATCTAAGCTAGACCACCATTAAAAACCTGGAAGTAGTGGGCGGCTTAGATAGATTCGTGAATTCAACCGTTAAAATACTACAATCTTCACGAGTCCCCATAATGCAAATAATTTATTAATAAACATTTTTGTGGTTACAGGACTTATGAGGAATGTTTCTAAATAATATTTTAGGCATATAAAAACGCTTCCTTTTAAATGTAACGTAGTGTAAAATATCATATTTATATGTCATGCCTAAAGTAATTTAGAAGTGTACATATTTAGTTACTATTTCGTACTTCCCCCGAACGCCCTGGTACGGCCGAGAGTGGGGAGAGTCCGCTCTCCCTCTCGAAATACTCTCACACGGCCGCGCGTATACAGCCTCTGCCAGGGAAGTCCTACTCATTGCCTTCTCGTGGCGGGGGTGTTGTTTACGAAAATGAGAGGACGAAAAGCGAACGTCCGGCGCTTTAACCGGATCACAAACCAATGGTGCACATGGGCTCCAGTATCCTGCGGGAACAAATGGCGTATGAACCAATCGTTGGTCACCGGCTACCATGGGACTGCATCTCCTCACGATGCTCCACTGCCTTGTGGGTTAGACCATTAGGTCAAAGGCTCGGGGTGTGGCCCCCTAAGATAAACACCTGCTTCGGTTTGGGCACCCGGGCAGTATCACAGCCCACACACAAACGATGAACTCTATGTCTATGGCAACTACTTTTCTCGATCCGATAAACAATCAATCGATTCAAATAATTATCATTACTATTATTGTCGTTATTAATACTATTATTATTATTACCATTATTGTCATTATTATTATTATTATCATTATTATTATTATTATTTTCCACATTATTCACCCTCTTTTATACTCATACAGCGGCTCGTCTTTGGTGGAAATTCGACTGTATCTAAACGTTCTCGAGTCACTGTCCGGTTGAAAATTGTATGTTACCACCGATTACGAGAACTGAAGCAGTTTTTCTGAAACCACGTGCACCATTCAAACTGGCTGCCTTCAACGTTCGCACACTAGTGCAGGTCGGACAACAGATAGGGCTGGCTATGTCTTTGGAAAGTCTTAATATTGATGTTTGTTGTCTATCTGAGACCCGTGTTCAAGACTCTGGCGAAGTACTACAAATTCGCTCTCCATCTGTCGCTTCGGAAAGCTTGTTTTACGTGCGCTTATCCGGGGACCCTGTGGCATCTTCGTCTGGTCTTGCTGGCGTTGGTGTCGCGCTAAGCGCTAGAGCTGAGGCAGCACTAGTTGATTGGATCCCCATTAACAGTCGGCTATGTGCTGTTAGATTAGAAAGTTCCATCAAAGTGAGAAGAAATCGGCGTGAGAAACGATGTCTTTTCGTCATATCCGCCTATGCCCCGACAGATTGCAGCCCGGATGCAATCAAGGATGAGTTTTACCACCAGTTGTCTGTTCTCCAGAAAGTGCGCTCGACAGATATTGTAGACTTGAATGCTCAGGTCGGGCGTCTAGGCACAGAAGAGAGTCGTTTAAGTGGCCGATGGGGACTCGTTGGTCGCAGGTCAGATAACGGGGATCGTCTACTGCAACTTTGCACAGACCACAACCTGTTTCTGGCTAGCACTAACTTTCGGCACAGTCATCGCCGATGTGCCACCTGGCGTCCTCCCTCTGCATCCCAAGCCTGGACTCAGATTGATCACATCGTGATCAGCTTCCGCTGGCGTGGTTGTGTAAAAGACTGCCGCTCCTTTTGGAGTACCTATCTGGACTCTGACCATGCCTTGGTCTGCGCCAATCTTGCCTTACTTTTCAGTGGACAACGAAGTGACCGCCAACAAAGGATTGATATTAGCAAGCTGGTTGCAACTTCTGTTGCAAATAAGTATCGAACCGAGTTAGCCTCTAGGCTAGCTACCACTCCACCGAAAAGTATAGATGAGCATTGGTCGCAATTGCTTGACGCCATGAAAATGGCGGGAACAGTCAGTTGTGGGTTTGCGAAACGTCCCGCTTTTAAGCACTGGGTTTCTTCTGGTTCCTTACAACTCATTGAAGCCCGTCGGTCTACTCCGGGTGACCGTGAGTTTGACCATAAACGAAGGATGTTACGTAGGGAAATTGGGCAAAGCTTGCGTAAGGACCGAGAAGCCTGGTGGTCGGAGCGTGCTAATGAGCTGGAAGCAGCAGCTGCATGTGGTAACTACCGGAAGCTCTTCCAGCTCATCCGAGCCACTGGCAGCAAGAAGTCTGGTGTGAGTGAAACAATCTGCGAGGATGATGGGATGCCAATCACTAACATCCATCGACGTCTTGGACGATGGGCAGAATTTTTCGAAGGGCAGTTCAACTGGCCTGCTGCTCCGGCAACATCGGTCAGACTGTCCTGCCCTCCATGGCCGGTGACGACTGATCCACCAAACGAGGAGGAAGTCCGCAAGGAACTCCAACTCTTGAAGCGTTACAAATCACCTGGCCCAGATGACTTACCTCCGGCTCTTTTTAAAGATGGTGGTGACTTTTCGACTAAGGAATTGACGACGTTGTTTACAAAGGTTTGGGAATTAGAGAGTGTACCAACGTCATGGAATGAGTCGATAGTTGTCCCTATCTTTAAAAAGGGTTCACGTCGTTCCTGCAACAACTATCGGGGGATAAGTCTACTTCCGATTGCGTCCAAGCTATTGGCTTCCGTCATACTTCGTAGGTTGTTCAAAACCCGAGAAAGATTGACTCGCGAGGAGCAGGCTGGGTTTCGTTCTGGTCGAGGTTGTATTGATCATATCTTCACCCTCCGCCAAATGTTAGAACATCGCCATACTTATCAAAGGCCAACAATCGTAGTGTTTCTTGACATCAGGGCTGCCTTCGATTCGTTGGACAGGACTGTTCTCTGGGATTGTCTATTGAAGAAGGGTGTGCCTGAGAAGTTTATTAACATCCTAAAGGCCCTATATAAAAACACCTCAGGCAGAGTGAGGGCATACAACCACCTCTCTCCATTGTTCTATTCGAGTAGTGGAGTTAGGCAGGGTTGCCCAATCTCACCATTCCTCTTCAACTTTGCCATCGATGACATTCTGGAAACAGCTCTGATGGATGTAAGTAATGGTGGTGTGGATCTGTTGGCTGGAGAAAGACTTCTCGACCTTGAGTATGCGGACGATATTGTCTTACTGTGCGATAATGCCCAAGGCATGCAATCCGCACTTAATCAGTTGGCAATCAGTGTCCGTAGGTATGGTATGTGCTTTGCACCTTCGAAGTGCAAAGTACTTCTACAAGACTGGCAGGATTCCAATCCTGTACTCACCCTGGATGGTGAGCAGATAGAAGTAGTCGAGAAGTTCGTGTATCTGGGTAGCTGTATAAGTGCTGGTGGGGGTGTGAGTGATGAGATCAATGCACGTATAGTGAAAGCCAGAGCGGCTTATGCCAATCTGGGCCATCTTTGGCGCCTTCGTGATGTTAGTCTGGCTGTAAAAGGTCGGATCTACAACGCGTCGGTGAGAGCAGTTTTGCTCTATGCTTGGGAAACCTGGCCTCTCCGAGTTGAGGACGTTAGACGACTCTCTGTGTTCGATCATCGCTGTCTCCGAAGGATCGCTGACATTCAGTGGCAACACCATGTTAGTAATGCAGAGGTTCGGCATCGTGTGTTCGGGCACAGAGATGATAATTCAATTGGTGTCACCATCTTGAAACACCGACTTCGGTGGCTTGGACATGTTCTACGAATGTCGTCCCAGAGAATTCCACGTCGTGCATTATTTGCCGACTCTGGGACTGGTTGGAAAAAGCGAAGAGGTGGTCAGTGCATGACATGGTGTCGTGGTATGAAAGAAAGCTGCAAAGGACTGGCTTCTGTCGGTCCTTCACGACTCCCTGGTTGGGGTCTGAGAGATGGTGCTACACAGTGGCTAGAGACGTTATCAGATATGGCTCAGAATAGAAGCCAGTGGCGATCCTGCTGTAACCTTCTTTTACTTTCTTCATAAAAAGTGGTTGTGTCTCCCTTACTTGAAAGATTTCTTCTGATTGTACCTTTCCGTTCCATCGTTACGACCACACTACCTTACACCAATCTCTTCGTTATCGTTCTCTTTTTCTTTTGTGCTCCTTAGTTTTTTTTTTTTCTATCTCTTAGAATTTTCATTGTTTTGTGTGGCGCATATATATTGGCGCTCTCTTTTACCAATATTTATGTGTTCAAATAATAAATAAATCAAGTAGATACATTCCGTAGTCATTTACTTTGGGTTAACAATACTTAGCTACTGTAGATAAAACTAGTAGTACAAAAAGCACTTCAATATTTTCATGCGTAGTTAAAATGGTTGCATATTTGAACCCTGTAGTCGACTTTGAGCTTCAGTTTTTGTGCATGCGGTGATGGCGCTAAAAAAACTACCGGAGGCAAATGAAGCGAACCGAATTTCGAACCTGTGACTCACTGGTTAAGATTCTGCTGTTTTGAATAAATCGTGATTTTATCAGCGTTCGCGTAGTTATGGTATTTTTTTGGGTTAAAATGTCAACATTTCCATTAATTTACAAACTCCTATTTCATCTATGGATTTTTATTGTATGAATCTCTGTGATAGATTGTCAGATGTATGAACTTCAGGTTGAAAGTCGCTTTGCTATACTCTCAGTATTACTATTTAAATCAAGTGTTTTCAGCGCTGTTTATCTCTTTAAAAGTTTAGATGACTTCGTTAGAAAATCTTATGTAACTTTTTAAAGAAAATTGTGGAAGAAAATGATTTTGTAATTTACTTGTCACATACATTATGTATACATGAACTAGGAATTATATAGTATTGTGACCTATTAGCCAAATTAGTCAGTGTGTGTAATTTCATTAAATCAACGTATGAGTCATTTTAATGATGTATTGCTCATTATTTAGTTAGCCTAGAATAAATCATAAGCACATTTTATGTATATCTCGATTATACAGGATTATGTAAAATAACTGCTTGTGACATGAATCGGTTTGAAATTTTTCAAAATTCCATAAATTAACTTATCATAATTCAAATGTAAAGTGGTTGTTTTAAAACATATTTTCAACATTTTTTCCGCTTATTTTTTTTTCATTTAGCTATAAGACGTAAAGAAAATGGTTGGTATGATGAAGATCATCCACTTGTATTTCTGTTTCTCGGTTCATCCGGTATAGGCAAAACGGAGTTGGCTAAACAAGTAGCAGCATACTTACATAAAGATATTAAAAAGGGCTTTATACGTATTGATATGTCGGAATACCAAGAAAAACATGAAGTATGTATTTTCCAAGTTCTTTGTTAAAATAGCTTACTAGCTCGTGTACCTGATACATATTTGTGTACTTAGTTTTAAGCGTGAGAGCAAATGACACTACCTAGGTCCCCAAACGGGAGTAGATGAAGTGGTGTCTCAAAGCCGAAAGGCCTAACCACTGAGGCACGTCTTAACTTCTTAGGTTTTAGTTAAATGTACATATACTGCTTATGTCGACAGATATAAGTAGTATGTAGCACGACTTGGAAGTGAAATTCATGACTGCAGAAGATTGGTAAGATTTTTTTGAAGAAAACAGAAAGTAATTGTAATAACAACGGGATTGAAAATGTCGTAAAATATGTTAAGGGAGATGTGCAAATTATGTATTTGATCTATGGTTTTCATATTTTACGAAAGCACTCTGTGATTTTGTATTAAATAATAAACTGGTTTTCCCCACCAAGTCTTTTTCACTACAATACCATTGGTTTCAACATAAAAATTCTTAAAAAATAAGTGAACTACACAAGTAAATCACCAAGTTTGGGTTGTGCTGCAAAATAATCAAGAATATTCCTTCGAAGTATTTCAACGGTTTCGTGTATCGTTATTTTATCTTTATTATTTAAACGCACAAATGTAAAATCAAAATGTCATAATTTATAAATCTCAATAAGTACATGACAGAAACATTATGCAGCATACGCATTACGACCTATTTAGGACTTGTCAGTTGAATATATCTTCATCTCAATGTCATTCTGCAAACTGAAACTCGAACTTGGCATCTATCGTTTTAAACGTCAACTTTTGATTCCCCAAGTGAATAGAGTTAAGATAGCCATGAACTAATTCAACAAGTATTATAAAAACTCATTGGAAACATCAATTTATTCATCAAAGAATAAACGAGAGCTTTTCATAGTCTCCTTTGTTCTCTTCACCCTAGCATCATTTATTTGTGTTTTTTATTTATTTTTAAACACCCCATTAATTTGACAACATACAAATTGACCGAAATCTATTTCAAATTAATGTAATTGCTCATACCTTATATTGTTTCTGCATTCCGATACCTTTCCATTTAGAGAATAATACGTGTAATATGTATCAATAATGATTTCCATATTTGTGTTACTCTGTTAATATCGGCTAATTACTTTATTGAATTAATAGTTAATTAATTAAATATAGATTGAAATTAATCGATAATATTCTGTCAGCTCTGTGCTATTCTGTTACATGATGCCCTAAGATTTTGGCAAACTACTCAATACCACTGTCATTTCGTTAAGATTATCGTAGAGATTGAACACCATCTTATTAGCAGCTATATAGACATTTGTCTGTTGAGATGCTGTGGAACTAAATGGTGGCAGAGTATGATTCTGCTATGTTCTGCCGTCCTTTTCGATTAACAGTTCACGTTTTATGCTGTTTGGGAAACCAGCTATGAAGAGTAAAAAAATCAATTGTACGCAAGAACATTTACTACGGAAGGCCGAATAAATAATACTACTACTAGACTGGCTTATAAACCTATGTGGCCAGCGACCTTGAGCAGAGGAATAACTCATCAAAATTATGTTACCTACATTTGCACTTCACAATTATCTTGCATTCTCTTCTCAACAACACATGATCTATTTGGTTTCCTGGGATATCATCTCTCTCAAAAATTCTTATTTTTTTGTCTTCATATGTGCGTTAGTAAGTGGGTGTATAAGTTTTTTCCTCTATCTTTTTCAGTCTCTGTATTACATTGTGCATGTGATTAGTTTGAAATTTTCCATTATTATTTTATAGGTGTCCAAATTCATCGGATCACCACCGGGTTATGTTGGTCATGAAGAAGGTGGTCAGCTTACACGAGCTTTAGCTGCTTGTCCTAATGCAGTTGTTTTGTTTGATGAAACAGAGAAAGCTCATCCAGATGTTTTGACAGCTTTGTTACAGTTATTTGATGAAGTAGGTCACATTTAATCTATACAATTATATGGTGTATGTTTTATTAATAAACTCAGATTGAAAATATTGTACTTATAAGTATTTCGTCAGTTAAATGTTGAACTAATAGACGGAAGTGAAAGTTCGTTAGTAATCCCTATTATTTTAATTCATATCTTTTTCTATATCTAACTTTTTTTTGTAGATAAAACTAACAAGTTTTAAATCTTTAATATGAACTCACATACTCATTCAGTCGGTTACCAATTTTATTTTTCAAAACTCATCTAGTTAGAATTCGAGGAATTGATTCTGTGAATACAATTATAATTTAAATCATAATATCTATTCTATTAATTTTATCAACTAATTGATTTATCATAATAGGCTGGTACATTAGCCTTTACAAATTTGGAGAAGTATGGATAAATATAATATTTTGTTCGCTCGACAGATTTTTAGAGCCGCTCTAATAGGTGTAGACTACCTTGTTGGGGTCCGTGTAATTATCGTAACCAAAGAATAGAGACCTTGAGTAACATGGCTCAAAATCGTTTGCAGTGGTCCACGTGCATCCTTTCTATGTCTTTCCCCAACTTCTGAGCTTTTGAATCCTTCATAGCTTTTTTTGTTATGATTTCATTAATTTATATTTTCTTGAATCATATCTTCGATGTCCAGAATTTCCAACCACCACTCATACTGTTACTACCACTACTACTTTGCGATTTGGCCTGAAGACTTCATCTCTCTGTGTTAATGAGGTATAGCAACTTGGAACGATCAACATATGCACCAGGTTGTACATTGTGACTGACTGATTTTCAGATAGGAAGTCATTCTATCTATACTCTTTGGATTTATTTGGTAAGCTACAGCAATTTATCTACATGAGAAATCTATTCCAGAAAACTCACAGGGATTAGGAGAAAAAATCAAAGGAAATGGGCAGCTGTTAATTCATCATAACTCCCTGATTAGGTGGTGCGACTCATTTCCTTGAGATGTTGTCAGATATGACTCAGAATAGAAGCTAGTAACAATACTGCTTTAGTTTTTTTAACACTTTTCATAGAAGCGCATGAAAGAAGTTTTCTTGATTGTATACTTAACCGTTCTGTATCTCTTTTTGTATATTGTTGTCGTTTACGTATTTCAAGTCATCTCCCTTCAATAATTCTTCATAATTTGGTCTCTTTATTAGTATAGTATATACTTTATTTTGATGCCCAGCTGTTCCAGTATTAATATGTATTAAATAAACCAATAAATAAATCCTCAAAAACTGAAGAAAAAAAACTAACGAATGTAGTAAAGGTTTTCATCTAAATTTGTTGTGTCTTATGGACTGCAGATTAGATGCACAGCCACTTATCGATCGGATCAATGACACGTAAGAGACGACCTAGAGTCCCGATTGGCCCTTCTTCCCTATCTAGCCCAACCAGTTGAGTCCAGAACGCAAGTCTCAGCCTCTGAGATATGAATCATTATATTTCAAACATACTCTGTTTATATACCAATCAGACAGACCACATCGTACCATAAAATAGAGAACAACATTTGTACAATATTTAACAAGTGAAATAAATATTGACCAATAGAGAATGTCCATTTAAAGTCCAAGGACACCATTAGACTTAATATGATAATTATTGGTATCTTTTTCTGTATAGATTCTTAAAATGATGTGGGTAGTTTCTTATTTTAAATATGACAATACTATAACTATGTGCATTTACCACATTATAGAAATTTATTTATTCACAACTTTATTGTTTATGTAGCACAGACAATAAATAAATTTTATTAAATTTCATATTTTAATTTTATTTACTGTTTATAGTGTCTTTGTCCATATTTATATATATTTGTTTGTCAACATGTAGAACAGCATTAATTAAGACTAAACGTTTATATTAAACTTTTCATATACACTTGTCGATATTTATTTATGTGTTGTATTATAGTTATGTTTTTATAAAATAAATTTTTTTAATCAATATCCAATCAAATCAATAAATAGTTAAACCAGTTTATTTTTTATTTGTATTCTATATTAAATATGAATTTCATTTAGTAATAAACAATAAGTTTTGTTTGTTTGTTTGTTTGAAGGTAATTGTCTATATCTAAGAATATATTAGAAACTATTTAATTAAAAAGTGAATATCATTAAAATAGTTTACATTGTTCCACCTAATTATTATTCCATAAGCGAAATACTGATTTATCTTCATTGATGGTTTCATTATTTTAGTTTTTTATGTTTGAAATCATAGATTCAAAATCATGTGTAAATGCTAACTAGTGGATGTATATTAGATAGAAAATAAATGAGTTCTCTTAAAGAATATAACCATTTGTTGTTTATATGTACTTTAAGTTTTATTGATTATCACGAGTGTGTTTCCACAACAGATCTATCTATGATTATACATATGAGAAATTCATTGTTTCAGTCATATGATTTCGTTACGAAACTTGAACGTTATGTGTATCATATGTTTCCCATTGTAAAATTTGTAATTTTATATAACATAACGTTATTTCATTGATTATATCATCATATAGATTAACAGTTATCGTGAAATTTGATTATCAAATGTTGATTAAGTAAATCAATATATTTTCCCTTCTGCTGAAAGCATATAAGTATACTTGAAAACATGTTTGCTGAAAATAGGGCAAAGAAGCCACAAAGAAACAAAACAAACATACTTCACACACTTGAATATCAGGTTGGATTATCATAGCTATAGAGAAATTCCATAAAATGCAAAATACCAAATAAATGAAAATACTGATACACTAACAGTAACAAATGAACTGGAGAACAAGTAATAACAGATCATCAATATGAAATAAACTATCCATAGTAATAATGTGTTTGAAGTTTGTGGTGGTAAGACATTGAATAAATATGTTTGGTTTTGTGACAATTTCTACTCCATGTCTTGTTAACATACACGATCAAGAAGTTTTGTTGACTTATTAACTTTATTATATCTATATTTAATATCAGCGTACAGTTATTAGATGGCTCCATCATATGGGGCGGTAATTTAAAGATGTGTATATCAGTAACTTGAAGAAAGATCATTATTATTTAACAGGGATACATAAACACTTAAAGCTCTGTAATTTATTTTTGTCTCTACGATATGAATAAGAAATATAAAGGGAAATTGCTTCTCTAATCATTTTTACCGTTTTACTAGAATTCTAATGCATATCCAGTTAGTCACTATACAAAGCGAAAAGTTTTAAGATTGGATTAATGATTTGAGGTGAAGAAACAAATTCATTTGAAGCACTTTATGATCTCTATCAAATAATATTTTAAACTATAAGAATATACATCCTAAACATATGAACAATTTGTTGAGACTAGATAAATGAATCGAGATAAATTTGATTATTGCATTATGTAGTTGCATACATTCAATATGTAATTTGTAGGCATGTCTTAACTCATTGGGTGATATGGTGGTTGGTTTATAGATTTCATATTTACTCAGTTGTGTTTAACAGTTTGAAGTTCCCTTCACTTTATATAACAGATGTATTTTTAAAAAAATAAACTGGTTATAACTGTTATTCTAGCAGTTCCAGTGTGATAGCTTTCAAATAAAAAAGACCGTTATATTTACTCATACTTATTTGGCAGACATCAAAAGAATGAATAGCACTTGGCAACAACTGTAAAGAAAGTCCAAGTTGGAGATTTCCAGTTGGCGATTTATGCTCCACAAGGGGTAATATGTGTTAATATGTATTATTAGATTAGTGTTACCAAGTAAAAACAAAGTTAGTTGTACATAAGTAGTAACCAATCTCAAAAGTGAGGAATGATAAATATTCTGTTTTATGTAAAATTAATAACTATGTCAATTAAACTATATTTGAGTAGGTAATGAGGTTAATAAACTAAATTCGTTTTAGTAATCATTATATTATTAGCTACTTATTACTAAACATCCTACTCTTATTAGGGACGGTTAACAGATGGGCGTGGCACTACAATTAACTGTAAAGACGCTATATTCATTATGACATCGAATGTTGGAAGTCAAGTTATAGCTGAACATGCGCAAGAACTACGATACGTTTCCGGAAATGATGGTTTGTTGTTATCGTTACTTATTTATTATCACTGTTTAGTTTGTCATTTAATAGTACAACATATAGTCTAACACAAAAGTTCATCGGCCTAAGTTTTCATACTACATATGTACGATGTGATAAAATTAATGATACTCATTGTAACACGAATCGAAATATTTTTGTAGCAATTTTGATTAAAGACTAGGGATTGACAATATGTTTCGAAAAGGCAATGAAAAGGTATGTATGAATGAATACTGGGATTAAAGATCAAGAGGAACACAAAGAGTGGAAAAATTTGAACCATTATGACTGACTTGTCAAACATCAACCCATTAGGGCTAATGAAACATCCAAGATAATTCAGTTAGTCAATGCATGGAACTATTTCCCTCCTCGTTATTACTTTAGGGGTTGATGTAGATTAGTGCTGAAGCAAAATTTTATATGTGGGGGAGAGAAACACATCTTAAAGATGTATTATTCAAGCCAATTAGAAGACTGCTTTCCCAGCATCTCCATCAAAAAGGACTATTTCGTCTGCGTACTCCACGTCGATTAGTGAGTTTCTAGGATGGAGATCAATCCCTGACAGTTGTCTTTTCCTCGTTAAGGAACACCCTACATGGCACCAGACTCCTTAACAATCATTAGATATTCAAGTCACAGCGTTCATGTCGATCCATATTTCCAAACTAGTTAATTCGTGATATAGAACAGTTGGTATTTAACTACATCTTGGTTGGTTTCACAGGTCACAGCTTCTGACTTAATCTGTCTTGGTGCTAATTACGAATGGAGACAATTCATCATCGTTAAAGCCTTAACAGGTTGTTGTGTTCATAAGATCTCGGTATCCTATACCAAATATTTGTCTGGATTTTTCTTACCTGTGACACAGACGAGACGGTTGACTATGTATCAAAAATCATGTAAGCTCAATTTTCTCATCCTGTTACTTTACGAGTGCGAAATTTCTAATGTTGTAGATGGCATTTATAAGTTGACAATATACGACAAGAAATGTTTACGTAGCATTATTTTCACATTTCGAATCAAATGTCTATTTTCCTATCTAAATTTATTTCAGAAGCTGACATTGAAATATCTCGAGACTTTAAAGAAAAAGTTATGCGTCCGATATTAAGGGTAAGTAGAGTAGGTCAGTAACAATGATGACTAATAGACTGTTATCCATTATTTTAGTGTTCTTTTTCATTTATTTTGTGTCAACCATAAGCTTATTTAGATATATTCTTATATAAAACAGTGTCTTAAAATCTCATTGCATCTTATGGATATATCATTGAGTTCGAATGTAGGACTGGCACATTTAAATTGGGTTCCAGTAAATAGTCCCCTTAAGTATTATGATTCAAAATTGATCACAGTGACTGATTTGCATTCATTTTTTTGTTTTACTGTAAGTCATAAACTTATATTCCCTTTATTCTTTTTGAACAAAACGTTTTTCACTCAAATTTCCATTGTTGATATAAGCTGTCACAACCAGTATAGCTTTATGCCAGGTCCTGTATTGCTTATAGACAGTTTCATCATAGCTCTTCGATTAAGTGGGACTGACTGAATCAATGATTGTGTTATTCACCGATGCCAGTTTTGTTGTTTTCTTACTTCTCAATTCCTAATTCCGTTCTCCTTTTTTTGAAAACTTATATGCGGTTTGCCCGAGTAGTAATAATCGAATCCGCTCACCAGTGATTACGATCCAGGTGCATTTTCAGAAGTCCTGGTTCAAGGCTATTAACATGTATAGTAAATTAAGTATAAGGTAAGACAGACATCAACGTTTGTAAAATCAAATACTAGCCCTAAATTGACTTAATTCGTGAAGCCTCGACAATATCTTACTTGTTGCTAGATTTAAAGGTTGATAGCTTTTCTACGTGAGGTCTTGGGTACATTGTGATAAGACCGATGTCATTTTCTTATTACAAAGGAAGTAGATCAGACCATTTTTGAGTTTTATTGCTTCGTTAACACTTCCTTTACTGACTATCTAGCCGTTATTGATTCAATGGAACTTTGAGAAAGATGTTTTATATCCTTTTTAATTTGGTCGTGTTATTTGATTCGAGATATCAATTTATTTTTTGTTGGAAAATATTTTAATTTCAAACGCAAATGAATGTTCACTTGCTACGCATTATATCTCAGATAGTGATCGATTCACACAACTATTCATTGAATTTTGGACATAAATAGTAGCGAACAAGCAACTAGATTTTATAGTTTAAAGATTCACCTTAATTTACTGTCGCGTAAATTGTTTATCACAACATAATGCAACGACAGTCAATTACGATCCTTCATGTATTAACTGTTATCGAAATCTGATTGATAGTTACGTACCACCGTAGGTCATCCGTTTAAAGCATCAACTTTTTAACCTACATTTTCATATACTTCAATTAGTACGTCCGTAATTCAAGTATTTTGCAACCGTTAACATTAGTTACATTTTTATATATTTCTAATTGTCATGGATTCACTTGTAATAATCCTAATAATTTGCTAATTTTTTCCCATAAATATTACAGAGACATTTTCTTCGTGATGAATTTCTTGGTCGTATTAATGAAATGGTTTACTTTTTACCATTTTCAACATCTGAACTTACCGAACTAGTGAATCGTAGTTTAAAAAGTTGGAGTGAAAAGGTCAGATTTTCTTCTGCTATTAGGTTTTAAAAAAATTTAATTCCTGTGAAACAAGAACTAAGTATGTATGAAACAACGTCGAAAAATTAAGAAAATGAATGATGCTTTTAGCTGAAAAGAATCTGATACTAGATAATTATAATTTCACCAATCTTAAATGTGAAAAACTGACTATTTCGCCTTATGGGAAAGGGTTTTAGAATAACACAGATAGTTGGAATCAATTATTCATGGTTGGCCTATATGTGTTAACCAATTAATGACTGATATTTGTTGAAAGATTTATTAAACAATTTTCCAGACTGATTCCCTTAAATAAGTCTCTTTAAAATGATTTGTTAGAGGTCACAAGTAAATATGCTTGAAATTCGCATTTGATGTCGGTGATACATTTTTATGGAAAAGTTAACATTTAGTACAACTGTGAATTCTTCAGAAAGATTTAGCCTACTGTCAATGAGTTTAGATGTATAAAAATGAGATTTTAAGAAATAAGTTACGAAAAGTAATGGAGGATGTATGAACTTATTATCATATCAATTGTATTGTGGCAATCACATCTCACTTATGCTAGTTTCACTATATCTCTGATTTTCATATATGTGAAATAATAGATTTTTTTAGGTCAAGTTAGGGGATGTTGTAGTTTTAGTGATTTCATTTTTTAGGTGAACTCATGTGTGCTACGGCATAAGTTAACTTTAAAAAAACTATATGTAAATCCTATTTACGCCTAGTATCTTGTTGAATTTTTTCACTATGGTCTGTTACACAACTTGCTTGCTAGATTTTATATATGCTTAATTTTATAAACTATCAGTTTTTTATGTAAAATTTGATATATAACCTGGAGTAATTTTTGTTGTAGGCATTGAAAAGGCATTCTCTCACAGTAACATGGAATCGTGAAGTAGTAGATCTTATTGTTGATGGATATGATGTGTATTATGGAGCAAGATCAATTAATTACGAGGTAAGACTGGCAGATTTCATCGCGTTTTCATAGATCATACTACTACGGATTCTAAATCAATCCTCCATGACTTTTAGATGAGTAGAAGTGTTAGTTTTAGTAATTCCATCGACTTAACCGATCTTGGTACAGATAAAAGTAACTACTTCATTAAATAATTTTACACTGGAAACTGTAGTCAATTATCGTTTTCGATCGATGAATGTAGGTGTGGCCATTGACTTACTACTATCCTATACCACCTAGCCGGAGAGTGAAACGTTTTCCTTATTGTAAAATTTTTCTGCAATACATAATTTGTTAATTTCAAGACAATAACTTCAAATAAAGAGATAAAAACGCCTTCATTTTTCTGGGAATTATTATATTGTGCAGATAGTCGGATTTGCAATTTCGCTAATAGAAGAATAATGGATACCTTTTTTTCTCATATAATCATTGATAAACTATTATTACGAATGACATAATTGAACAACAATGTGATAACTTAATGGTTAAGACATTCTAACTCCAACCACCAAGTTGCAGTTTTAAACCCCATTCTGCCTACTTTAGTTTGAGCAACCAGGTGATATTAACTAGCCTTTAAATTTATACTATGGTTCAAAGCCCCAAACACTTGGTAAGTAAATAGTCGTTAACATCAGGGCGAAACTATAAATCACATTTTGTCTTTACATATTGAATGATACTTTACATTGGATTTATGTTTGATCAATTTTTTAGATTGAACGTAGGATAATAAGCCTTCTCGCTTTAGCTGATGAACAAGGACATCTAAATCCTGGCAGTCGTGTCAACATCAGTGTTAGTCATAAAAGCGTTAAAGATGAAGCTTGGTCATCGAAAAAATCAAATGAAAACTTGGATCCAACAATATCTTCCCCACCGCGTATAGTACTTAATGTTACAGATGCAAAAGGCAAAATGAATAAAGTTCTTGATTTGACGCAGACCACTATTTCGTGGGCATGAGTTTATATATATAATTTTTCACTTTTAAACTCTCAGATCTAACAATCGTTTGTTTCATATATTTTCGATCCTAACTGGGTAAATCTTGAAATTCTCATCTTTTACACATTCTCTCTCTCTCTCTCTCTCTCTCTCTCTCTCTATATATATATATATATATATATATATATATATATATATATATATATATATATATATATATATATACTATTTTAGGAAACCAATTTTTCGTGCACCATAATGATACTGACTGCCTACTCACACGAAGTTTTTTGGCATACTACGTCAGGTCCTCTTGAAGAGATTTTCTAAAGCTTGTCAGTATATCCAGTACATGTTGTACACAAATGTTTCATTTTAGTATATACAACAAGATTATTTATGAAAATACGTGGATTCATTTTTGTTGGAGATGTGATAATAAATTTTTAGCAATAGACGCCTCGTACAGTGGATATTTATTTGTCTTTCGAACCAGAAAGAATTAAGAACGTGTTGTGAAACACTGCTTCCTGTTTCTTTTAAAGAGATAACTGTTTCCGACCTTGAATAACGCATACAGTTGTAGTCTTTTTCGACAGGATCACCTACTTTGCTCTTTTGATGTTAGATGTAAGGCTGTACGCTTTAAAAACAAGGAGATGTAAGTTTTTTTATCTGTACTACATGGTCTGATGTGAAAATATGAATTAAGGGCTGGAATAATTACTTAACTGATTAATTTTTAACCGTATAAGAAAATCGACATTATTAGGCTATTGAGGGTAAATATACTATTTTCACTCTTAATCTAAGTTATATCATTGTAATGCCAATATATCTACCAATCAATATTTTAGTGTAAGTCCTCTTAATAAGTTTTCATGCAGTTTGCTCCGCATCTCATTAGTATCAGTGCGTATTTTTAAATAAATCAAACTTAAGTGAGACATTAGTTACTTCTCTTAAAACCGAGTATATTATAGAGTACGAGTAAGTTTGGGGGTGTACTTCAATCATAAAGGTGACCAAACTATGCGGGATGCAGGAATGCTAATTGAATACAAGGTAAGTTGATGCGACAAAAACAATCCTCAATGTTCCAAATATAATTGCTTATTCAACTAATTAAAGTACCAGGTTGCAAGAGAAGAGCCTATGGAGCGCAGCTTTTTCGCGTGCGTTAGTAAGACTAAATACTGCCTCTAAAACTTAACAACATAATATGATAACAATTTTCCAAACTTATAATTTTTTTTCAAAATTAGTCATCCTGTATAAATCTTTTACATACTGATTAATAATCTGTCAATAGTTCCAAGGAGCAATCTGACATCTGTTTTGCAAGTAACTAACACTTCTCAGATTAAGCCAGTGATACGCTTATATATCAGTCTGATAAATGTCGTAGTCACGTCTATCTGTACCTCAAAAAAAAAACCCACCGGGTTGGTTTTAAGAATGCTGTAAGCAGTGTAACGTTAGTCCTCTCATTCCATAAATCTTCACAGTGAAGCCAGAGAAAAATTGGAAATGTATCTATAGTTGAGAGGCTCAAAGTTATACATCCTTATGTTAACTGGTTTCAAAAGGATATCTGTTGACACATTTTAGATTCATATGAAATTAAATGTATTGCTACATCTATAGAGAACGATATTCGTGCTTACTAACTAATTTACGTTTCCCTTACATCTGATAATAAGATTTTTGAACCAGTTTTAGACAAATCTCTCTAAAGACTTTTAGGAGAGGTCAATAAGACTTATGGCCATGAAATTCTTATACAGTCATGTTGTTTCGGCTTAAAACTATTGGGTTAATGAAACGCTTTACCTGTAGATAGATGTCCAGCAACAACGAAGTTTCTCAACGTCTCACTCTTTTTCTAGTCTTAAACTAAGTTGACAATTCATTCATAACTTTAGCAAACATAGGCTTCTATCTTTTTTACAAAAGATAAACTTCTATGATTGTTGATCAACAGTAGAATCATTTACAAGGAGCATTAGACAATCAAGAAAAATAAATACGGGTCTCATTACGAAAATACTGCAAACCATTTATAGTTTCTCAAATTAACATCAGTAGGAAGTGAAGTAGATAAAGCATAAAGAATATTTTGCACATTCAGAACTCACTGTACAAACATTGTGGACTTTCAGATTATCGGAGATCATCAGAAGAATGTTCAACAGTATCGTCAAATATTACATGTTGACTTTGTTCATATAATGGAAGATCTGTGGCATGTGGATGGAAACCCGTCTTTTTACATTTTGACAGGAATGAAATGCCGTGATCAGGAGTTAATGAAAAACATTTAATATCATCGAACTTAGGAGCGCATACAATTGCAATCGCTTCCGGAAGCATAGTCTGATAAGAAAGCTGACAGTGTAGATCAACAGCCGATAAGAAAGCAGTTTGAGTAGGATGTGTATGAATCCAACCCAATGTGATCAGCTGCCTCCTGTCTAAGTACTCAAATATTTCCTCTTCTTTATATGTAACACAAGAGTCTGGAGTACCGCTTTGCTTCGGAATTAGAAGGTTTGTAATATAAAAATTGCCACTAATTAATTTCCCACACAAGGTCCCACAAGTTTCTCGATTTCCTTTAGTATTTTTACTAGCTAGGTTCAAAAAGTCACTTATCAGATGTCTGGATAAATATGTTTTCGTCAAACCATAATTTCCTGCGTAGTTACTGTACAAAGATTTTGGGAGCTCATCCAGAGTATAGTTGAAGGCTTTATTAAAAGCAGGATATAACGTTCCGTTGACTGAAGATAAGTTAGACAAAGAGAGTCTATAAGAGTTGGGATCAACTGGATAGTCATCATACGGCTTTGAACTATGATCAAGAAAGGGTATCACTGGTCCATTAGTATTCACTTTCCATTCAGTTATACTAAGTGACTTTTTATACAGCTCATATTCCTCTGTGTACTTCTTTTTCAAATCATCCTTCAAGAACTCAGCAGATTTTGGAAGTAATTTACCAAGACTTTTGAGTTCGTTTTGAACACGTGGATCCAGTCTCTGGTAACCATTATGGTTAGGTAGCTCTCGGATACACAAAACAGCTCTTATGGACAATATGTACGCTCTTTCTTTTTGGCCTGCTTCTGAGAACTGGACAGATAAGCGAAACATCGACCGGATAAACCGTGCATAGTGGGAAATGTCTATATTCTGAATGATAGTGAAATCTTCAGCAGACTTAAGAAGAGCATCCAGACGTTCTTGGGGAGTTTGGTTCATTTCTGGAGGAAAGCTGTATAACTTATGATATTACATGGAGGAACTGGACCTAGAAGACATATAAATGAATGGCATCAGTCAACTTCTTAGCTAAAATAGATGTAAGTGAATAGTTGGTTTGTTTATGAAAAGATTTGAATACCAAAATCGCACAAATATTAACACCGACTAATTCACAGTTGTGAATAGTAAGCTATGCATCGCATTGAGTTTGTGGGATGGGTACTTCTTTTACAACAGGAAACAGAATGGACTTCTCATGGTTCCTCTACGTTATGCTTATATCACACGTTCGCTAAGAAGCCTATGAAAGAAAAACTACTCTCCAATCAGCACAAAAACTGAAAGTAAGTGGGGAAAATATTGCTCCATATCAGTGATTAAGTATAGATTCACGTAACCGGCATCGATTAGTACATTTCTGTAAGATTTAGCGATATTTCTATCTATCTATCTACAAGTACGTTGATGAAAATGCGGGTTTCCCACCACCTGACGAGATCAAGTTTTTAGTTACGAGGTTAACGATAAATGAAAATTATCGTCTTTAAAAATTCTCAGTAGTCGAGGAAAACAGTGATGATTCTGTAAAAACAGAATGTAATAACATTTGAAATAATCAGAAAACTTCAAAGCGATGTTTTGACATTTATGGAAACTACTGCATATACTAGTTAAGTGTAATCTTAAAACTTTCAACAATCGCTTGATGTCATTTAAACCATGAATGAATCACAGATAATTGAAAACATCAACTTACGGTCTCTTTTTTAAATCTTACATTACTGAAAATACAAGGATTACATAAACTTATGGAAAGCACTTACATTTAATATACGGCTGATTTGTATCTTGTAAATAAAATTTATAGGTACAGCAGAATACAGAAGTTGGACTCAGGTTTTCCATGTAGTCACTTTAGTATTTTCACCTAATTCTGAGAAACCATCATAACACAAGAGGACCTAGTAAGAAATTTGTAGGAATAAAATAACTCAAGTATGAAATACAAGTGTAAACTTGAAATTACAAACATAAAGCTTTATAGAAAGAAGTTAACCAATATTTGATACACTTTTAATGTTGGAATGTGGCTAAGGACACCATAGACTGCAAAAGTGACCCGTCCAAATAGACACAATCGCATCTTGCAAAAATCTAATGTCTTACAAGTATTTTGACCCCAATGTAAACTTCGATAGATATTTAAGAAAGGGGCTAATTGATTCAAATATGTGATAATGTATTGTTCTTCGTACTATAAAACTGCTCACATCTCATGTTTCTTGCTGCAATATATGATAAGCTTTTTTAATTATCTTATTTTTTCTTGCAAATGAAAGATCTCACCATTTTTGGAAAAGTAACCCACTTCAGTCGGAATAATTTGCTCGGGTTTTACTTGACAGAAAGAAAAATTCAGGAAAATAATATCACTTAATCTATGATCACTGCTGAATTTGTTTTCAAATAGATTCATATCAAGCGACTTTGTAGACTAATTGGTTTGTACTAGACATATATGCTTAATAATAGGCGGCACCGAAGAACACATCTAATTTCCCAGTGAAGGTTTAGCCGGACGTTCACATAAGCCAGCTTCCATATTTGCAACTTTAACAACAAACCAAAATAAATCAAGGTATTCATGGTTACATGAAATTACAATGAGAACTACAGATGTTAGTCAACTGATTATATGCATCGTAGGAATTAGCACACATACGCATGATCCAATTTTTACATCATATCTGCACAGTGGGATAAGGTGATACAGTGACAGAACAAAGCTTTATATAATCCAAACTCATAAAATGTGTTGTAGAAACAAACTTGCTGCTGAAACGCTTATTCTGTTGTAACGATTGTATTACTCAACTGTGGGAGTTTATGTGGATTCATTGGATATGCAAAGCTACATTTATAGATGCCTTCCAATTGTGATATACCAAGGACTAAAGTTCCATGACTAGTAGTTAATGTTAACCAGTGCAATTTTACTAACCAACAAAAACCATAAAAAATATCCGCATAGGTCTTAGCATCTGGCTAAAGAACGAAGCTACGCCAAAACAAGGTACATGGCGACGTAACAATTAGATCGTTATGCTCTGCTCCCGATAACACCCTGAAGCGGCTTTCGCTAGTGAGCTCGGAAAACCTTAGATGCTTTTTCTCGTGCCAGTAAACGATGGAATATTCGGTGTGCAAATACTTCTGCGATATTACATTTCAAGTTTTTAAATATTCCAGCACAGTAAATTTGAGGATGAACAGCCCAAGCAACAAATAAAGGGAAAATAAGTGTGAACAAAGAGGACGAAGGCGTTAATAAAAGGGAACTGTCGCTTTTTCGACTTCGCGTTCGTTATTTAGAGGAAATCCGACTCTTCCCCCTTAAGTCGTGTATTTGGAGGAAATTTTTTGACAATTATACGTAACGTACTGTGTTTGAATCTATGTACTAGTACACACACACAATCAGAAAAAACATTCAGCAGTAATGTTTTAGAAACAGTAAGAGCAAAACAAACGGGCGGACTGAACAGATTTAGGTGCCAAGTTCATTATGTAGATATTGTCAGTTTGTGATGAAAACGAGCTTTTTAAATACAGTGGGTTGTTTGTATGCCTAGCAAGTCATTGACACGTCAAATGATATTTTAAAATTTATTGTCAGTCAAGAAAACAAGTGTTTTACATGAGGCTCTGTCTAAAAAAGACTATGCGGCAGAATCCACACTAAAAACTGAAACAAGTATACGACCTTAAAGTACCGTCTACTTGAGAACTTCCCGCTCTGTGGCATTACCTTCAGGGATAATTTCATCAAGTATAGTGAGCTTGGAACAATTAGCTTTTCGGTATTTATAATCCTCATGAAGAACTGAAATAATGTTTTTTGCAACTCGAGCTTATATTACTATCTTCACAGACATATAAAATCCAAGTTCTTGATTACTTCTTATTATTATTATTAATTATTATTATTAATTATTCACGTTGCTATTACTTACTTACTCCTGTTACTCTTAATGAAGCATAAGCCGCTGACCAGTATTCTCCAACCCATTTTTTCCTGGGCCTTCCTCTATAATTCCATCCAATTCTTGTTCATTTTTCTCATGTCTGTTTTCATTTCCCGCCGTAATGTGTTCTTTGGTCTTCCTCTTTTCCTTTGGAGTTGAGGATTCCATGTGAGGATTTGTCTTGTGGCATGTTTTGATGCTTTCCTAAACGTATGTCCTATCCACTTCCAGCGCTTCTTCCTGATTTCTTCCTCCATTGTGATTTGGTTCGTTCTCTCCCACAGTAGGTTGTTGCTAATAGTGTTGGTTGACGGAGGGCTGATTTGAGTTCCAGATGTTCTTTATTTGTAAATATGCTGCTCTTGCTATGCTGATCCGCGCCTTCACATCTGCATCAGATCATCAATGATGCTACCCAAATATGTAAAGGTTTTTACATCTTCCAAATCTTCTCTGTCAATTGTGGTTGCATTGGTGCATACTGTGTTGTATCGGAGAATCTTACTTTTCTCTTTGTTTATATTGAAACCCACTGCTGCTGAGGCTGCTGTTACACTGGTCGTCTTCTGCTGCATTTTTCGTTGGATGTGCGATAGAAAATTTAGATCGTCCGAGACGTTGGATGACGTTCATTGAAATGCCCTTTTTCTTTGTTTAGCAGGAGCCTTTGATGATCCTTGGTGCATGAGATTCTCATCTTATAAGTGAATTTTGTGCACGTTTGGACAGCATTAATGTAACTCCTTGTGTATGTTGGGCAATTTCTTCTTCATGAACGGAGTAAAACAGAAGCTCCCCTGAAGCTAGCCGTTGTTGTCCAACTTGCGTCCAATGTGTTTCACTGATCCCAAGCACCTCTAGGTTGTATCTCCTCATTTCTTCAGCAATTTGGAAGACTCTCCCAGTCTCTCACAATGTACGGGCATTCCATGTACCTAAATAAGTAGTTGCTCTGATTGTCAGAAGGGGTATCAGCCTCGTGACATTTGAAGGAACTCGGCTTTCATCATGAGGCGTCATAAATCGTCTAAATGAAGACCTGCTGCCAGTTCCGTGCCATGCCTATCTAAACAAGGGTTAAATTTCTCTATTGGGCTTCTGTTATCGAATATGTGACGTGTGAAATATTTAGCTCGTCAGAAATTCGAATGATATGAGAATTTCGGTCATTTGAATTAGTCGTTGCTAAAAACTGAAGCTTGTTTTCGGGGTGAAAAATTCCCTAAGATAATCAGTTTTGCAAGCATTCTACGATAATTATGACAATATGAGTATTTCTGGACACAAAATAAATATCCCCCATTAGTGACATTTAAGCTTAATACCGGATATATCTCCTATAACTAAATACAATAGAAGACACTCAGCACATTACCTCGTAATAGTTTTTATCTTCTTTCCTTGATTGACTTTAAGATCATTTTGGCCAAAGTAACTGAGAAACAAGGTTTTTAAACTTATTTGTGACTCATACATAATTATTTCTGGGTTATGAGTGACTTAACACACAAGCTCATCTGACAATCAATAATTCCCCGAACTTGCAACATATGCTGTTAAGGTCTGATTATATAAAATCGACCAGTACTGAGGCTTATTTCTTCAAGGAGATACCTTATATTTTCTGAAGGAAAACTGCAGATCTCTGTAATGCTGTCGTCCATGTTCTGAACCATAGGGATATCTGTCATTGACTGATTGTTACTTATGTTAACCCACTTTTCTATTAGTCTGGTGGTCAATGAACTCATGCATTATATTTTTGTACCACTGATTGGTACTAAGCTTGCTAGCTCAATAAATGCTAATAACTGATCATCTATATTTATGATTTTCAATGATGATTCATTAGCAATTCTTAGTGGCAATTACATACCTCAGTGAAAATGATTTATAAAAAACATCAAACACTGGCAAATTTAGTTATTAGCCGACGTAAATAGATGTTGTCTATGAATATAAGCAAGGACTGGATAGTTATGTGGATCTAATTCTTCATCTTGTTTATTCATCAAGCATTGCGTTCTATCCTATGAGCTATCCCACAACACCTTTTTTCTAACCATCAACTGCCCAATTTCCAACTTTTGTGTTCCATTGCCAAACAACGAAGACAGTATTCCAGGAAAGTATGGTGAGTTTAAGCTACGAATTTTCTACAATCTTAATATCATTTTATATTGCTGGTTACGTATTCACCTGAACCCTCGGATTAGTTGAATGACCGAATCAACAATGTCTTACACATTTATCAATCGGTTGTGATACTGTGTGTTTAATCTGAATCATTTTGATTCTATGATGTTTGTCATATCTGTTTTTAATGCGTCAAATGTTTTGGAAAATCTAAGTATTGGAAGAACTCGAGGAGAGTTTTATCATTTTGCTGGATGATATACTATCTTTGTGATACTTTCTAACATGTATATATTTTCACTTAGACTAGTCGTATATACTTCATAGTGAACCACTCTCAAAACCGTTTTCGGCATTAAATATATTTGACAACTATAAACTATTGTAAAACATGTGCTGTTTTCAGGCGAAGCATATGAGATTCAACATTATTCTGACATTTGTTATTTCTAGTAAACACTGCCACATATTTATAAATGTCAGTAAGCTAAATACAGTAACCTTTTATGAAAAGACTATATTGTCACCACCATGTTCCTGACTGTACCGTCATAAGCCATGTCTGAAAGTCGAATTATATTGCTAGACTTTTCAGTTTTTTATACACTATATCAACTTAAATGTAGATATAAATTACACATACCTAATATTATCCCTGCACTACATGTATAAGCAAATATTTGAACTGCTCTTAACCTTCTCCACGAAGCTGAATAAAGTAGTTATCTCTACACGTAATTGGGCTTATAAATTGTGCTATCATATTAAACGCCTTAAAAGACTTTCAACATGATTATGACAGTAAAGTCAATGCAGTATGATATTATCGCACTGCATTATTATTACAACTAAACTGTAATGTAGTTATTAGTCAAGCAAACATTCGAAACAAAAACTTTTACATACTGATAAAATTAACGGATATTTATGGATCGTAATTCGTACTACAACAAATCAGTTCGCATCCGTTAATGCTGCAGACGTCTGGTATTTCAGGATCATTTAAAACAACAATACCTATTTCCCACTAACTATCCCTCAATCAGCACTACAACCAGTTATTCAAAATGGTTTCTGGATATCACCACGAAGTATTTTCACGACTTGACAACCACTTAATATGATTGATAAAATTAATGAAAATATTGGGAAACTCGGTGGATAGATTGACTTATGGTGTCACTAAATAGTGTTGTTTTACCATGGTTATCTTTGTCTATTATAGGAAATCTCAGGATATTTTTATACCAGTTGCTCATTCAATAATAATATCTTGTCAGTTCGATTGGAGGTTTATTAACACAATCATTCACGCAACACATCAATATAAGCAGTCTGAGACATCACTGTCAAATATATCTCAATACATAGAATTTCATATCATTATCATAGACATGAGACGGGAGTTGTACTCTCTATGGTTAAAACTTATGCACTCCTTGATAACCGCATAAGCAGCATTCACTATTCAACATCTTGTAAAGATCTATTTTAACGTAAGCACCATGCAACATCATGTCACCTATATGTATGACCTAAAATATTTGTCATTTTCAAGAACCAATAGTCGCTTTATTTAAAATAAGTCTATTTCTACTTTATGTTGAATTTCATACATATAACTAACTTGTAAGTGTGAATATAATTAACTTGTTTGCAATACATCAAAGCACTGAGTTCAGAGCATGTCTTTCACGGACTCATTCATATTTAAAAATTAATCTTTGTAGGATCCATTTTGAATATATTGTGTGTGAAAATCCTTCTATCTATACACCTGCGGTTTATTCCTATTGATTCCTTTAGTTGCACATTTTGTTAGTCTTTTCGATTCCATTTGAGTTCATAATATTTGTATTTTATTACAGTTTTTATTTTTCTTACGCCTTTACTAAGTTCCCATGTTTCTTCATGAACTGCATTTATGCCGTTTTACTTGTTACTAAGTCTTAGCGGCAGCCATATTGGTTTGTTCCTCCTTTTAATTGTGTTGCTTGTATTGACTTGAACTTTGCATTTTTGATTGTGAATTGAAGCACTTGTATCAGCTTAGGTTGGTTGGTTAAGAGTTGACCCCAAACAACCAAGCATATGCCAAAACAGTATTGTTCAAGTATTCATCCACTTCCTTATTTTGCATAGGCGTTATATTTCCTGTTATCTTATATTGAATATTGAGAGGTTTTGTTTGTCTGAACAAATAATGCCACGCTCCACCGTGACTGCGCTAAGATCGAAATGAAGACGTATTCACTACTTGTCTGGTTTCTTCTATCAATAGCACGAGGATTACCTTAAGGCACAAAACTGGTGAACCCTTTTGAACACAAATTTAACCTCATTTCTGTTATCAATATTATTTTTTACTCAATCGTATAAGTAGACCTGATTACCCGTAAACTAAGTTGGGTATACAAATAATTTATTTTTTTATTATCTTAAGTTGTTCGTGTTATAGTAACCATTTTTTCGTGCTAATTTTATTGCTATATTTGTCACATACCTCATGTCAGACTCAATAGAAACCCACAATCTGGAGGATTTGTCACCAGTGGAGATAAACACTGTTATGAATACGTAATCTCGACTTCCAAAATTTGATTGTAGTGACCCTGAGTTGTGGTTTGCTCAAATAGAGC